TTGGCATCCTGCCAGAGCTAATTTGGTCCTCTTAACCGTTTTCTATGCCCTTTTCCGTGTGTGTCTGTGTGTATGCGTTAAAGCCGCAAGTCTCCTCCTCCTCATGTGGGTCATTATTTTTTTTTCTCTCTCTCTCGCTCCCTCTCCCCCCTCCCTTGCCTGCGCGTGCGCACGAAAATAGGCTCTCTGCGGGACTTTCTGCGTCAGCGACAGTCGCAGTTCTGCAATCGGCCGGTTATGCTGGCGGATATCTGCGCTCAGGTGGGCAACGGGATGGCCTACCTGGAGGGCGAACAGTTTGTCCACCGCGATCTGGCTGCCCGAAACTGTTTGGTCAAGTCTGTCAGTCGTAACTCCATTGTAGTGAAGGTTGCTGACTTTGGGATGGCGCGTTTCCTCCTAGACAACGTATACGAGCCCAGTGCAGGCACCAAATTCCCCGTGCGCTGGGCCGCACCCGAGGTCTTTCAGTCCGTATACACAGACAAGGCTGATGTCTGGAGCTTTGGTAAGTTTTTATTATTACTATTTTTATTCACACATCACTTGATACTTCGACCAGGGTAATTTAAAACAGTCCACTAGCCTTTCGATCGAGCATGTCATCTATTATCGATTTTAGCTGTGTCTGGTAGCTTGCGATAGAAACGGTCCTATAATGACTGCCGTGCTACTGTTACGGCGACTACTATTTTTAATTCTCCTGACTAGCAATGTAGTTGAGTGTTAGTAATACTGGCACTATTACAGAAGTTAGTGTTTGTCAGGGGGTGACGCTGATTAAAGTCAACGCTTGAGTTCATATCCCATCGAACACAGCAAGGAGGGTGAATCTGGGTTTATGTTATTCCGAGTAAATACATGTTTGAGGCCCGGGACACATCAGGACTTGCCTTGGTTTCCGCCTTCACCAGGCCTTTCCATCAGGCTGTATCATCGTCTTGGTTGACGCAACATTATTAAATCATAGCTCAAGTTCTTCCATGCCTTTATGTCGTATGGTGCCATTTGCCGTTTTCAGGCTAACTGTTGGCTTACTGTAGTATGTAACTCGTCTTGAGGTTTAGGAGACGTTTCCCGTCTAGTGGGAAAGTAATCTGCTCCAGGGTCAAATAAAATTGGTATATCCTATACTATAACTGTCAGTAGCTGGGTAATAAGCAGTAAGCAGAGCAGATGGGATTATGAACTTACCGGTTTTCTTGACTTCCCCTGGTAATTTTGTAAGACACTCGGGTTGTCCTGCGAGCATGCAGTATGGGGTTGCAGATCAGCAAATACAGGCAGGCCGACTACGCCAGACTGCACGGCAGATTCAGGGTTCTCATGAGCGATATGGCCGTCCAACTCTATCAATTTACTTCATAAATCGTTGTTTCAATCGAACGCCCTGGTTGGGTTTTGAGTAGCCAATGGCTGCCGGTTTTGCAGGAGAGGCGGGTGTGCCCACTTTAAACCCCCTAGACTTCTCGAAACAAGCTCAACATCTTTGTTTGAGTTGAGCCTATCTAGGGGGCGGTGGGGCTGCCTTCGTAACACATTTGTCTGGTTTAAATGTGTTTGACCTTAAAAGGGCTCTAAACTTACACGCCACATCAAGGACGAACAGACTGCAGTCGGACGTTCAGTACTGATAGCGAGTAGTCTCATCAGTAGAGGACTTTCAAAGCTACGATTTCTCTGGAAATGATGTCGCCCAAAATTGATTTGATTAACATCCTCCAGCCTTTCTTCGTTTACCAGCTATTAAAAAAATGTTAGTCAAACGGACGGCAGACTAGATTGGGCGTAGGAACTGACCTGCCGACTCTCGTGGGTCACATTTCAGCGTCCAAGTGCTGGCTGTACTCAGTGCGCAACAGCATAGCCAGGCTAGGACTCCACTAGCGGGATACTAGAGAAGACACTAAACGGAGGGACTTATTGTGCACAGAACTACGAGCTGCTATCCCAATTAGCACTGGCGAGACGAGAGCTAGAGAGGTGGAAAAGAGTGTGTGTTGTTAGCTGCTTGTACGGGTTTGTGGGAACAGGCTCGCGTGGCTGTACCGAATTGGCGTGTGGTACCTGAGTCGAGGGCTGGCATAAATGGCTGTGGCTGTTTGAATAGGCGCGTTTGCGCATGTTGCAGTCAGTCACCGTGCGTGGAAACACTCGCTACGAAAGTGAATGATCTTACCGCATCGGGATGCTTTAAAACAATGTATCAGCCGTCCGTTACAACACCGATCGTTTACCCTCCCCCGTGTAGACCTGGTACAGCGGGGCCCCCTTTTAGTCATATTATGCAGACATGGGAAGTCTGACTCAGCGTTTTAGTAGACTCCAGCGAAAGCGCCGCCCCGGTCGGGAAGTTAGAAATCCTTCGATCCATTTATTCGCCTGAAGTTTCGATATCCGTCGTGGATTCGTCATCAGAGAGCAATAGCAGATAGGGTAGCACATGCACAGGAGTTTGCAGTATT